GCCGTAAGCACCGCCGTACTATTAAATAAAATAATAAAGAATCACAATAATAAGATAGATTGAACAATTAATGGGACGGGCGCCCAGGGGGGGGGTAATACAAATATTAATAAATATGGATATATATAATATAATACATACATGAACGCCTCAAAAACCGGCAATAATAATAACAATAATATTTATATGAGACCTGACCCGCGACGACGACGACAGCTTCCTCGATCTCCACGTGCACCAACCAACACGGGAGCAGCAACAGTCAACACAACGACCACGATGCCCGGACACGACCACGTGAAGAAGCCGGGGACGACGACGTGGACACGACAAAATACAGCCACAACCGTCAGGTTGCAATGCGACGACGTGTCGGCAAAACAGCCAAGAGCTACCAACCAGGTCAAACGACCCAACCGCAAGTGACACACGTATATGTGTGCAGAAGAAAAACCGCCGTCACTGCAAACGTCGTGCGGTGTGAATCGGACGGCAGTCACCACCAGACAGACACAACGGCCAAAAGCTCGCGACAGTGAACAGGTCGACGACCGGACGCACAGGCACGGCGATCGAAACGCGCAGCTTATCTTTATTGCAATCCACTATCGCAGTCACACGGCGGACGGTCGTTATTCGGCGGCCTTATAACTTTTATACATCCTACCCCCTTGGAAGACGCGGGGCGACTTTCAACTGTTGTAGACAATATGTACGATAGGTGGATGTAGATACGAGGTAGAGAGAGTCTGTCACGGTAACCGGTAGGCGCCGAAGGTAATGGAGATGTGACCTATATATTGTACATGATTGAAAAACGAACACAAAAGATACCAAAAATTCAAAACAACAAAAAATAAAAATAAATACTTTGGAGATCACCTGATTACATCAATTAATAATTCACAAATATAAATTCAATAAATAAAAAATAATTAAACATTGGGCAATAAATAGCACCAGATACTAAATAATACACATTTTTTTTTTTTTTACATGACACCCCATCATGGTAGGCTTATAGATTTAAGTTAACGATATATATATATAAAAGAATAAAATTTAATAATTACATTAAGTACGAGGGTATGACATATTGTAGTTTTGGTGGTATAGTCGCGCGACTAAGGTACATTTACGTGGATAATTTAACAACTTTGACTATGGGACGCGTTAGCACCCCAGTAGCAGTACGTAAACGAACTACTCGCACTACGCCATCCGCACCAGGCATAACCTCTTGTACCCGCGCCATATGCCATTTAAGAGGAGGAGTCTGTGGGTCTTTAATTACCACTAGATCGTCAACGGCAATATTTGACGCATCGACGACCCAACGACTGCGTATTTGTAACGTGTTGAGATACTCGTCGCGCCAACGACGCCAAAACGATTGTACCGTTTGATTTATTAGTTTCCACCGTTGGACCAAAGGACGCGATGTGTAAGGGATTTCTTTGTCGGGCAACGATAGTAACGGACGGCCTATTAGGAAATGACCCGGAGTCAAACAGTCGTATTCAGCTGGATCAGATGAGAGCGGTACTATCGGCCGTGAATTTAAAATCGCCTCTACTCGACAGAGCATCGTGGTAAACTCTTCGAGCGTAAATGTGTGTTCCCCCATGATTCTGATCATTAATCGTTTAGCAGAACGCACTGCCGCCTCCCAAAGACCACCAAAATGGGGTGCGCCTGGGGGGTTAAAGTGCCAAGAACAGTGTGTGCTAGCGACTATCCGGTCCTGGCACGCAGGGTCATTAAGAAGTTCCCTAAATTGATTTGACGCACCGATAAAGTTAGTGCCGCAGTCCGTGTAAATATCCGTAGGGAGGCCCCGGCGGGCGACGAAACGGTGTAGAGCGGCAACGAAAGCATCCGTTGACAAGTCGGATACATATTCTAGGTGGACCGCTTTCACAATGAAACACACAAAAACGGCTATGTAAACTTTGTATTGCCGCGCTTTTCGTAGACGGTGTTCGGTCATTTGCATAGGCCCGGCAAAGTCTATCCCGACGCGTGAAAAAGGGTGACATTCGGATACGCGGGAAGCGGGCAAGTCGGCCATGACGGGTTGGGGGTTCATGGCTGTTAAACGAATGCATATAACACATTTACTTATTACCGTTCTGATCAATGTATTTATGGATAATATCCAATATTGTCTAGTAATAAGGGACATTATTATACGGGGACCACCATGGCCGGTCAAATCATGCCAGTGGCGAATTAATAACAAGGAGAAATGAGACCCTTTGGCTAGTAATACTGGATGCTTTTGACCCGCGGACACCTGCGCATTAGATAGTCGACCACCCACACAAATTAATCCGAGATCATTTATGAACGGACGGAGACGTGCGATAGGTTTGGTTGTTATAGGGAGTTTATGTGACAGTTCATGAAATAATTTTTCAAACGCGATACGTTGCGAATACTTCGCTATGACAACAGCAGCCTGGTCTAGCTCATCCCTCGACAAAAATGAACCGCGGGACACGGAACGCCGGCGACAATTATTGAAGAACCTATACATTCGCGCCACGACACGTAACAGGTGTACGTACGTCGAAAATCTGTGATACCATTCGGGCGCGGGTAACTGAGCGGCGGTCGTGAGAGTTGCCGATAACAATAATTTAGTTTCAGGTAAGTTTCCAGCGTCTACGTCGGGTACTGCACTCTGCCATTCGTTGCTTAATAAATGTAACAATTCAGGTCCCTCCCAATACAACTTATTAATAATGAGCTCCGATGGAAAAATACCGCGCGATACACAATCGGCGGGGTTTTTTTGCGGAAGGGATGTAATTCCAATGACACTTGGGTAATAATGTTTTTATTTTATAAATTCGATTCGAAACAAATATTTTAAAGTTTTCATGTGGGACCTTCAACCAATTTAAAACAGTTGTCGAATCCGACCACGCGTATATATCAACGACATGAACTCTACGCTTTAATGTTAACGTAAGTCGGGCCAACCAACGTGCAAGCAACACGGCCGCGCAAAGCTCAAGTCGGGGTATGGTCGTTGCTTTCAGTGGCGCTAACTTGCTTTTAGCCCCCAATAGAGATACGACCGACTGTCCAAATTCGTCAATTATTTTTAAATAAACCACGGCAGCGTAACCCCTTTCGGACGCATCACAAAACCCGCATACGTAACATTGGCTTCCCACTTGTGTACCTACAAAACGCGAAATTTTTAATTGCTGCAGTGCGGGAAGATCCACAACGAATTTGCGCCATAATTCGGATAACTCGGGAGGCAATGGATCGTCCCAATCGACATTGCTCTGCCACACTTGTTGCATTATATATTTAGCATAAAATATTACCGGGGACAAAAGGCCTAGCGGGTCGAATATTCTGGCGATAAGTGACAACATACCCCGTTTTGATGTAATTAAGTCTACAGATTGCATTAAATATTGAAACGTGTCGTCTCGATGGCTCCAATTGAGGCCGAGAACTTTAATCCCGACGTCTTCACTGTGATTAAACGTGAGTGACTTGGTGACCCGCTCATCAAACGAAACATTATCTAACACCGCCTCTGAATTACTGGCCCATTTTTTTAATGACATACCAGCTCGACTTAGCACGGTGCGTAAGTCATTTTGTAGCGCCACCGCGGCCTCTACAGAATCAGCACCCACGCATATGTCATCTACATATGTACTGAATAATAACGATTCGCGGACAGCTGGAAAATCGTGGCAGTCATTTTCAGCGATATGTTTTAGAACTCTAAGCGCTAAAAAAGGCGAACAATTTACCCCGTATGTCACAGTATTAAGTTCAAAAACTTTGAGCTCCTCGGTTGGGGAGGGACGCCACAGAATATGTTGAAAACAACGGTGGCCTGGAATGACTTCGATTTGCCTATACATTTTTGTAATGTCGGTAGTAAATGCGTAACGTGAAAGCCTAAATAATGTGAGGACATCGATAACATCTCGTTGTAATTTAGGACCGGATAATAAATATTGGTTCAGAGACGTACCAGAAAAGGATTGAGCAGACGCGTCGAAAACCACTCGTAATTTTGTCTCGACTTCGAACGACTTATACACGGCATGGTGAGGGATAAAATACGTTCCTAACGATTTTGCCGGTGACATATGCCCTAATGTCAAGTATTCTGTCATAAACTTTATATACGCCTCCCGCAGTCTGTTGTCAGCCGATAACTTCCTCTCGAGTGAGTTAAAGCGTTTAAGGGCCACTTCGTAGGAACCACGAAACGCGTCTTCGGTGACTGGTAGGCGAAATAATAAAGGGACACTAAAACGACCATTTTCATGACGACGAAAATTATCACGAAAAATTGTCTCACTCTGACCGTCATGCGTAAAGTCCTCAGGGGCGGTCTCGGGTTCCTCTATTTGCCAAAATTTGTCCATCAGCCCCTCGACTGACGTGATAAGTGAAATGGGACAGGAAATGTTAGTACTATGATTTACTTGTGGAACGGGACCTATAATAATCCACCCGAACACTGACCCGAAAGCAACCGGAAAGGAGTCCCCAACCGACACGCGCTTACCATCTAGTATGCGTGCGAATATGTCTGCACCTAATAATAAATCAATTTTATCCGGGACAGCGAATAACGGATCCGCCAACGCTAAATTTTTATACTTTTCTACTATATGTCTAGATATAGGATGACCGGGCATTTCCACAGTAATAGAAGGGAACACCCACGCCTCAAATTTAAAAATTGGCTCTACAGCAAATCTAGGCTGGACGTGACAATTGACTCGCCCTTTCACGTTCGGTACGGGCGCGCCAGCCAAACCAGAAACAGGGGTAGTCCAACGTGTCATTCGCAAACCTAGGCGGGAGGAACAATCGGATGTGATGGCGCTTATCTGCGACGCCGAGTCTACCAAAGCCCGAACGGTATGTAACACGCCCCCACAGTCTAGGATATGAACAAGCGTCGTCCCTAACAGTACTGAATTACCGGAGCCCTGACCAACCAACGAAGTGCGAACGTCGGGTGTGTCGTCAGGATGTTGGTCATTTGACGCATGCTGACCGTGTCTCACAAGTCCACTAGAGTCGGCCGGATGTAAAAGGGGGTGGTGGCGACGGGGACATTGGTCACATGGTGTGGGTGACTTGCAGTCTTGCGCCCAGTGACCCGACCGTATACATCGAAAACACATTTTGTGGTCACGGACCCACTTATGTCGGACGTCCGCGGACCAACCTAAAAACTTTCTACAATTAATCACACTATGAGACCCGGAACAAACCAAACAACTCCCAGGTAATTTAGGGGCAGTCGTGTGTGCGACTAACGAAGTCTTTTGGAAGCGCTTTGTATGGGTGAAACCACCTTTAAAACCATTTGACGGGAATGACTTGGTCGCTGATGGGTTTGTACATTTCTGCGAATTATCGCGTGGGACACACTCTAATACATTTATTCGCGATTTAACAAATGTTAATAGTTCTTTTACGGACGGAAATCCGGTGGACAATTGCGCCTCGAACAATTTGACGGAATATTGCGGTAAACAACGGGAGGCTAAAATAAACAGAATAAAGTCACCCAAGTTCGGTAACTTCATAGTCTCTAACACTGCGACACCTTCGTCGAAAATCATTAAAAATTTGTTTAAATCAACTAATGTTTCGGTCGATGCCTTGGGGGCAGTTAATAGGTTTTCGATTAACGAAGCAGCGACAAGACGGGGTCGGTCAAAGCGCGATTTTAATGTGGACCACGCCAACTGGTAGTTATCGCCGGCCACAGGAATCCCTCCTATCGCGTCTAGTGCAATACCCTTTAAACAGCCCGTTAAATAATAGAATTTTTCTATGTCTGTTAAGTTTTGTCTTTGGTCCACCATAGCAACGAAACGATCACGAAATGACAACCATTTGAAAATATCGCCGTGAAAACTCGGTAATGGTATTTCCGGTAAGCGTACCGATTTCGAGCGGTCGACAGTTATCGGCGCGGAATTTTCGGATGGGCCACTGTTATCCGCGTATGCGTCGACAATGACATTACGAGCGGGACCACAAACGTCATCGTCAGCCACAGGCTGTGTATTATGAGTATTTATTACGGTACTATGTAACGACCTTTGAGATCCCCCATGCACGGACATTACACGGCGGGGGTACTCGTGGTTATTCAAGACAGCTTTTGAGAATGAAATTAGCTCATACATCTCAATTATCGGGTCCTCTGAATATTCCGACTCTAATTCTAAATCGACTAAACAATCAATGTAAGTTTCATTCTCGGCCTTAAAAACATTACAAATATCGTCGACATCGTCCAACAGGACCGACAATTGCGCATAAAGCTCTGCATTTTCGACACATCGCAACGCGATGGCGTGAATAGCCTTTACGCGATTAAAACAATTATTGCATTTTAACAAAGCCTTTCGCTTTACCCGGTTTACACGCTCGATGTCTGCTCGCTCAGTCATCATTATTTGAATATTACGTAAAATACTATTTAATAAATCGAAGTAACATAACTATCGGACCGTCGCGATGCGTCGTTCGATAATAACATACAAAAAAAAAAGATAACGACGGAACCGCTTAACACATCACGCAATTACGGCCCGGTTGCACACAAGCACTAATTAATGAATCAATATAAATAGGTTTGCTGATTAACATTGGGACTTTCACCATACAATAATTTCGATTATATATTTATAAAAATTTAAATAATTAAACAATTTACTGATGCACCAAAACGCGACTACTACACCACCACAATATATCATACACTATACCAATATTACGAACGTAATAAAAATTCATAAAAAAAACTTCCGCTTAAATAAACCACGCTCTGCTACCAGAATGTTTTGTCAATGGGTTCCTTCTCGTAAGGTTGACCCTCTTGACGATTGCGTGTACCCGTACTACCCAGAGGAATTTAACACTATTTGTGGTATATGTGATATATCAGGTGACCATGTAATAATATATAAAGAAACCAAGAAAAAATACAGTATTGTTGACGGGCCGTAAGCACCGCCGTACTATTAAATAAAATAATAAAGAATCACAA